GCATAACACAAATACCCCATCGTCCTTGTGGTGGTAAACACAGCAGCCGGTACCCCATCTTGGCCTTGTTTATTTCCCATATGCTTGTGTTGCTGGCTTGTTGGTTGGTTAACTGGTTGACCGACCGGTTGCTTGCGTGACTGATGCCCTGATTTCGCGTACCCGTTTTGCACATGCCTCTGACTGTCAATGCCCAATCGTTGGTCGGTCGGCTCGCTTTGTACACACCCGAATGTGCGAAGCATGTGTTCGTCCGTTTTCCATGGTATTCTCTATGCACCTTAATCTACCGTCTGTACAGTGCTTCCTAGGGCACACACTGAATTTTACCCTACCCTGACTCGCAGGGATCAATACATCGTTTCCGGAGTTGGCGCGGCTCGTCTCCCACAACTGTTCATTTAGTTCTATTACGGAAATAGGTCTTGGAACAGTTGAGCTGCATCAGAAGTGTCACTCATAGAATTCGGTTTAAACTCGGTGTGTCATCTTGTCAGAATTGTCATTATTACCCCCACAATCCACATATTGATAAGACGTACGATAGTAAAACGTATGAGAAGGCCCGATTGCGAAATTTTGAGATTTACAGAATTCCGCTAAATTTCCCGTCATCCCAGGGTTCCATAAGTGGATTTAGAATCACTGTTACATTCATCAGTGACTGTTGCCTTAATCGCGCAGATGACTTTATACAATAAATAATGAGATCTTTGCGGAATTTACTTCAATGGGAACCACTTTCAACAAAATAATAAGGTAACAATGTTACTCAGAACTCAGACGGATAGTAAAATATTCAAAACCAGTTGACCCTCCTCCATTAAAAATAAATAAGCGGAAAGTGTAGTAAATTTGGAATAATCCATTCGATTGTTCACAGGCGCCAGGCACTGTCGATGGTCTTGGACACAAAGTGTATGCTTTGCTGATGAGTCCTAAACAATACGAAACAGCTACCCAATGCTCTTTGTCGGTCATCACAGATCTTTCAATCGCTTATAAAGGGGGAGTGCTTTTCGTCACTTTGATTAAATTGGTGCCGTTAATTGATTATTCATTAATCTTGGATTCTGGAAGCTCTGTGTGCACGAGGAATGCTCTGGCGGCGAAAGAATCATAGACACTGTTTGCTTTCACACCACAGGCGAGAGCGTTTTCCTCTCCAGGGGCATTCAAGGCACGGTGTTTAAGCTTCGTCTAGCTGCAAAAGCTTTACCCACCTTTCATCATCCGTGGATGCCTGATAGCATGCAGTTTTGACTTTCCCTTCGTACCAATGAGTCTTTTGATTGCATGATTGTAAACTCGAAAAACACGTGGATTCGTTAGCGAACCTGTGACAAACAGAGTATTATAGGGCTTGTCACTGGGTTGTTTTCATGTCCGTGAAGGTTTCCAAAACCGAACTGACCGTTTATTTGAAGATTTTGTTACGTAAAGTCAAGTTAATTGAAATAATCTGTTTATATAATTGTGCTGATTGGAATATTTTCATTTTTACGCGCAGGTGGCTGTTCCCACAGGATTAGCGCATAATGTATTTCTGACTGGCAATTCTGTAATTGTTCTGGGTTTTATATGAACCATATTTCAGTCGAACAATCTGGTATGCAACTCATTTCATTTAGAAATCGGCAGAATCGCTTCCGGGACTTTTGATGTTTGATGTATCTGTTTTTCACCATTCTTGTCCGCGAATGTCCCGCATCGATTTAGTAGTCACCTGGCTGGCCATTGTTATCGATTTTGGTTTGTTTTCTTCCGATAGACAACTCTCTGTTACCATTGTCTCTGTAATGAATCCTCTGTTTTTCTTTGTTTCAACAACGCATTCATATTCTGTACCAGTGCGTGCGCATGAAGTGTCCGAGGGCATTAAGCCTGGCACGATATTTGACTCGAAACGAACTGACCCCGTGGCATGGTTGGGTAAGTTAAAGTGTCATACTAAGATCATATTTGTAAATTTCCTCTTGTTTTATTGGTAAAAAATACCTGTTAGATGTACTGATAAATTGCGTAACGAGATACAGAATACTGTGCAGCAAACAAATTTTTCCCGATCCATCAAATTTCCAAACCCGCTTCGCTTTTAATCTCTTTGAGATCGGTTCGAGGGATGTTTTCGTATCATAACTACAATTTGACAACAGAAAGCGCGCACACATGCTCGAGTAACACATGTGAAGGGTTTTTCGTATTGAAAGAAATTTCCGATGAACACAATATTACTGGACAGTATAAAAAATATCTTTGTAAGGTCCGAGGCAGCTGGGAGTGGGGTCAAAAATGTCTTTGTGTTACTTGTTATCCTATTGTTATTGCCCTATCGTCAGGATTTGACGGTAAAACATACTTTCCTCATTTTGTGAATTTAGTGGCAGAAGGATGAAATCGTTATTCATCATGTTCTGTTGGCTATTTTTTCATTGAATTGAGGGAGAAAGATGGCAGCCTCTGCGGTTTTGGGCCGGGTTAA